ACACACACACACACACACACACACACACACACACACACACACACACACACACACACAGAGGTTGCTGTCATAGGTTGACTGTGGATAGTGGAGCTTAGTCTGGAAAGTTAGTCCCCGATCATGAATGTGAATGAAGTTGTACATCTGTGTGTGTTCTTCTCCCTCGAGGGAGGTCATACTGTCCAGTCCTCACATCTTCAAGGGTTTGTTTGAGGGTTAAGACCTGGTCTTGGGGTTTAGATTAGAACACTATTCCTAATCTTAGAGTTAGGGTTAGACGTTTAGTTCGGATGAGCAATAGGCGACGGAATATTTTATGTTCAGTGATAACAAAGACACAAGTACATGTGTGTGTGTGTGTGTGTGTGTGTGTCTTTGTGTGAGTGAGAGAGTCCTGTGAGGATCTTGGCCATGGCGTGGTGACAGCCTAGGGTCTTGCAGAGCTGAAAGTGCATAGTCTATTTTAGGATTTTCAGATCTCAGGAATGCAGAGGAGATCCTCTCTGCTTTCTGCCCCTCTGCTCGTCTCCCCCCCAACCAACCAACCACCCACCCACACACCCACACATCCACCTCACACACACCTCACACACACCCACACACACCCACACACACCCACACACACCCACACACACCCACACACACCCACACACACCCACACACACAAACCCCTTCCACCACCACCACCACGCCACCCACCTACCACCGCCCTTTTTCACACAGGTCAGACCAGCGCATTCCTTCCAAATACTACACTTGACCCCATCTCTTCATCCTATCTCTCTCTCTCTCTGTGTGTGTGTCTGTGTGTGTTTACCTTCAGCACTGTGTCTTCCCCAACCCCTACTCAGTGTTACATTTAAGATCACCATAAAGGGGCATAGTCCTAAGCACTTCGGCTCCTGTCTATTGTTTCTGGTTACTGTGAGTGTTTACTCATGGTCTCCTCATCACGCATCTGGTAGTGTGGTCCTTAAAAAAAGTTTCCTCTGTAGAACAAGCCTCGGGCATCAGCAACTGTTCTGAATGCTCATGAACTCCCACACAGCCTTTTTTCTTGCTCTCTCACTCCCCTGCAGTAAGGCCTTGGACTGCATGATCACACACACACACACAGAGAGAGGGGGGAAATCTTACCCTCCTCAGTCACCATGTAATTATGTGTGCCATAATTTTCTCATCTATGTTTTGATTTATCTCCACAGGTCTACACACAACGAAATGGAAAAGAACAGGTATGTTAAAATGTCTTTGTTTGTGTGTTTGTGTGTGTAATTGTGTGTTGGTGCTGTTCCTCAGTTCGTAACACACCACAAAAGCCCTCCCCCACTGTTGCCATGGAAGTGTCTAAATCATGGATTGTCAGTGGAAAAGTATCTCATCATAACAGATTGTTCAGTATCAATTGTAAGTACATCACCAGAATCAAAAGAAAAAAGTTCATTGTGGGAAAAAAACTTATATACATTTTTGTTTTTCATATTCAGGATTAGTAAAATGATTAAAAGAAAAAAGTTAACAAAAAAAGCTTTAATGCAAATGCTTATATTTAAATAGTTAAATGAAAGCTCTGGTTAAAATGTGTTATTGAAAAGGGAAATCAATGAGATACAATCAGACTGTGTGCAAATAGTGTACAAATTAATCACCGCCATAAGTGGATGAAGAAATGATACTCTTGCGTCACTCTTTTGTTTCAAATTCTGTAAATCACTGTGCTTTGATCGTCACATTGTCTGAAGGAACACACATTTCTAATTTGATGTACAATTTATGGGTTAGAGGGTGAGATTTCGGTGTAAAGAGGAACAGCTGAAGCTCAGAGTGATGCGCACACTGAAGCTTAACATTCTTAACAATACACGCTTTTTTAATTTGTGAAAAAACATTCAGGTCTAACAGCACAAAGACATTCTAATTGAATGATTTCTGTAGATAAAAGTATGCAGTAAGAGTTAGTCCAAAGAAAGTCTTTACAAAGACCTGAATCACATTTTTGTGAGAGTGCTGAATCATGAATTAACAGTGAAAATAAGTTTCATGCAGTGATCTGTTTTATAACTATCATGTGCCTTTGCAGATGTAGAAAAACCAGTAAAGTAAGAGTAAATGGGATAAGATGTTTACATGTGTCAGACGATATCTAAATGACCCAGAAATCTTATCAAAGTGACGGCTTCCGAGTGTGCAATGTATGAATATCATAAAATGGAACAAAATACTCAGTAAAGTAGAGGGTTCTACACTAGCAAAACCACTGATTTCTCACCCTCTACTAAGACTGATGAGTCTAATGGTATTGTGGTTATATCAGGTGGCTCAGTGTGTCCTCTAGCAACTAAAAACAGCTGATCATGTTTGAATATCTTACAACTGGGCTGTGTATACAACATTTTACATAGATGGTTAAACATATGCTCTACTCAGACAGTGAATTTGTCAGTCAGAAATCATTTGTTTGCAATGAAATGCTGCTGCTGTTTCTCAGCATTTCCACAGGCCGACATTTGAATTTTGAAACCTTATTTTGTGTGAGCCTGTATCGCTCTCTGCTCCATCCTGCCACTGCTAGTTGATCCAGGGCAGCAGCTTAGTGGTCAGCTTAGTGGTGAATAATATATGGCACTGGGCCTTTGCCAGGGATTTAGCCCTTTGCAAGCTTGTGCGTGCATGAGTTGTAAATTATGCCCAATGCTTGATGTATTATACTTGAGAATATTCATTGCCTTTAGCCAGTTTCTCACTTGATGATAGAAACCCATCACAGGCAGATATGAAATGACTCATTGTGATCCAGTGCGAGCCAAGCCAGAGGTCTGCAACACCCCACCCCTCCATATTTTTATCCTGTTTTGTAAAACTCCAATCCGCTCTGGCTGATCAAAAAACCACAGTGTGGGTGTGCGTGTGTGAATCTTAATGTCCACATAACATGACCTGCCACTATCATGCCTCTTTTCTTTTTTATATACACAAAAGTTCCTCCCAGTTAGTCATCAGTAGTTATTGCCAGAGGTTTGAGGTTGAGAGTGCTGGTGACAGGGTGATTTACTGCTGTTAGGTCAAAGTGCATCATGCTGACCTTCTAGTTTTTAGGAGGTGACGGGTTACTGTAAGACAAATCACTTATGCAAAAAGTTAGACTCGCACATTTACCTCATTTCAGACCAAGCCAGAGGAGTGCAGGACACAGCACCTCCATCCTACCTTATTTTGTCATTTATTGTAGAGGTCATGTTATAAAACCAAGACTCTGGTATGTGTGGTACATATTTGTGCACACAAAGAACGACTCCAGCCACTACCACAACCTTTTCTACCTACTTAAGTTCCTCCAAACTACTCATGGGCAGTTACTGCTGAGTGTCAAAGAACAAGAGCGAGGACATCTGGCTGAGTTCCTGCTGGTCAGATACAACAGGTATCTTGCTGGCCTGGTTGTTGTTTTGAGTCGAGCCCTTTTCAGACACAATTTCTGAACCTAAATTTCCAGACGTTATAAAAGCATAAAAACATTATGACTCTTTGTAGCTGTTTTCAGATGTGAACACCAGAAAATGTCTGGACTGGAGTTTTCCTTTCACATATGAAGAATGCAGCAGGGGATTCTCTGCTCAGAGGCATTCACAACAACAGGAAAGTCTCTGGAAAATTCAGGAGGAGGATGAGGGTGCCTAGAGTGTTTAGTCAGGACATAAATTCAGCAGAAATCGGTAGAGTCACCTAGCAATAGACAATGACATTAACCCTTATTATTAAACACTCATAAATGCTGTCCTCCTTTAAGTTCACATCTTTGTGTGCATCTTCTTGAGCTGTTTTCCCTTTGACACATGCACAAGAGATTCTCTGCTCAAACGCGTTCACAAAAGCATCAAATCCTCCGCAGGGTTCAGGTGAGGGGTGGGGCAGCAGGCAGAGGCAAGATGTAAATAATTATTTCCACTGCGGGGTTCACGTGATTTTGTTAACAGCTCATCTACAACGGCGTCGGCTCTTCATCAGTCTTTTACATCAATGGCTCCGCGTTTTCATGCAGAGATATTTTTTTTTAGATTTGTTTTTTTCATTTTTGTATCTATCGTGTGTTAGCAACATCATAAACCCCCCCGCTCGCTCAAGGTGAGGGGGCCAGGCAGAGAAAGTCTTCAAAAAGTTGTGAGGCTTTCACTTGGACATTTGCGTCCACACATACACATCCTCTGGAGAATGTGCGTAAAAGACTCAGCTGCTACTGTTTTCTGCAAAACAAAGTCACATTTGCACCTTCATTATTTTAGAGCAAACAGGTGCACTGAGACCAGTCTGACGCACTTAAACAGGACACAAGTGTGAAATTAGATCAGAGAAATATAGGCCATGGCCTTAGGCTGATAAGCACACAAACCTGCAGCTTCACATACATATTCACCCATTGACATACTGCACTGAAGTCACAGTGAACTAGAATAACCTGAAATAGCAGTGTGTTTCTGCCAGACCCGCAGCAATTCCTCTCACTCAGACGCCATGTGACCCGATCTGTTTCATGAGTCCGCTGCTCTTCAATGTTGTTGAACAAACATTATCTAGCCCTATTGATCCTTTATTATGTCAGAACAACACAAGCCAGAGTATTTCCAAGTTATGTAACAACAGTCGGTGTGCCCTTTGCACTGAGTCAGCTGAGAAACAGGTATTTGGTTTCAGCTGCTGAACACTGCATTGTGTTTTTTAAAAGGCCATGGGCTAAGAATATATTTGTGTGTGTCCTGTGGCCACATTCAAATCAGTCTCCTCTCTTGGTGTGTCCAATTTTGAATAAACTCTCTCTGGCAGTGACGCTCATATCAGGATTACCTGTAACAGCAGCAGATACTAAATGAACAGCTCATCCAGGCAGCCCTCGGCTGCCAATATAACATTTTTACATTTACTCTCAGGAAGAGGCTGACGTACACACGCCCACTCGCTCAGCCACGCACACACAGGCATACAGACACGTATACACTCTGCCGAGGCTGGAGGTGTGTGTTGTGTAACAGCGGGGTCAAGTGGTCAGAAACACCCACCAGACCAACTTACCAGCTGCCAAGGCTGCAGACTGAGAGTGATACAGGAGGAAATGGAGTAGAGCTGAGAAATTCAAATAAGTTCATACTAACATGCCTGGAAACGCATATCTGCACATATCTTAATGTGTGTGTGTGTGTGTGTGCGTATGCGTGCATGCGTGTGTGTGAGAGTAACGTCCAGTTCAGATGTGGACTTATGTCACAGATGATCTTTCACCACGTCTCTGAGTTTCTTCCTGTGAAGGGGAGATTTGTACATTGCTGCTCGAAACATCCTATGTAGCAACATGATGTAATAGTGTTACAATGCCAGCATCCTGGGAAGAAAACTACAGTCGCAGATAAATAACCTTACATATTGATGATTAACTTCAGTATAAAGAAACACTTGTACACACAAAATACAAATATCTCTGTCTCAGTTTTTCATTGTTTGGTGACAGTTCTATATTTTTGTATACCTCTTGATCCCTAAGTTGCGCTAAAGGGGAACTCTGGGTAATGTTTTGCGAAATCTGATACTAAGACTGCATCCATACTGGTATGTTTCCATTTGAAAACAACGAAAACAATCTCTGTCCTCTCGAGCATTTCCATTTCAGTTTTAATCCCTGTTCATACTAACACGCCTGGAAATGCATATCTGCACATATCTTAATGTGTGTGTGTGTGTGTGCATGCGTTTTTAATTGAACTTACAATTTTAAAGAATAAACTTTCACACATGCTTGTTTTCAGATGTATCTTTGACAAGGAAATTACTACATATGTTTCTCTCCTTTCCCTCCTCCCTTTCCAGACGGGCAAATCTACGGCTGTGTCTAGAGCGACTGAAGTCCCTTGTTCCCTTGGGACCAGATGCTAACAGGCACACTACCCTCAGCCTGTTGATGAAGGCCAAAGATCACATCAAGGTGCCTGTATGCTTGTGTGCGCGTGTGTGTGTACTCAACTCATAATCAGGGCAATGTGTTAAATGCATTGGTATGGTGTGTTGGGGTGTCTGAAATGACAGCTTCTCCTAAAGTGTTTTATTTCCCGCCTCGCTCCCTGCAGAGGTTGGAGGAGAGCGACAGGAAAGCTCAGCACACTGTAGAGCAGCTACAGCGGGAGCAGAGACACCTGAGGAGGCGCCTGGAACAGCTGGGGGTGGAGAGGACCCGGATGGACAGCACCGGCTCCACTGTGTCCTCCGACAAGTCAGACACTGACCAAGGTGAGCCTAACACAGACACACAGACTTAATATACTCATGTCTCTCCATAAAATAGTTGACGGAGCAGGCGTATTCATAAACCAAAACTTTTCTACTCCACAGCTTGTAAAGAATAACATGTTACTGTGGTCATTTGTGTTTTTGTAGTGGATTGGAAATATATGAAAGGTTTTTATTGATGTAATTACTCACAGATTGTGCGTGATATTCTAGTGTGGTGAGAAACTCTAAGGAGTTTGCCTGGAGCCCTTTATCTTGTAGTTAACTGCGGTATAAATGATTAGTTACTTAATTGCTAATTCAATCAGATAATAGTATTATTTAATAATTGATTATCCTTAAGCAAATACATCACCTAGTTGCAGCTTGTCCAATGTGAGGAAATAAAATATAATGGAGATGTTATCTTACACTGTAGGGGCAATTTTCAAATATTTTTCTTACATAAATGATCAATCAAGAAAATAATAGTCAAAACATTTGAAGAATTTTAAAATGAGATTTTAGATAGTGGCAGCACAAGATACAGCAACGTGTAATTATTCTTCAAAGTAGTCTTGACATTAAGTAACATTAAGAAGCATTTACTTCAGCAAGTGTAAAACTAGAAGTGGAGTGTATACCTCCTCCAAGGCCCAACAGCGTGCCCCCTGATCTGCATCCACACCAAACTTTAATGGCTTCTTCTCTGATCCATATTTCATCCTTCCACCAAGTTTCGTGATCCGTCCAGTAGTTTTACATAATCTTGCTTACAAACAAACAAACAAACCAACAGACAGGGGTGAAAACAAAAACAGCGTTGTCTCCTCTCATTCTGACCACATTGTTGTTGCACACTTGTACCTCAACAGAGGACCTGGACGTGGATGTGGAGGGGACAGACTACCTGCTGGGTGACCTGGAGTGGAGCACCAGCAGCGTGAGTGACTCGGGAGACGAGCGAGGCAGCCTGCGCAGCAGCTGTAGTGATGAAGGCTACTCCAGCGCCAGCCTGCTACTCCTGCAGGACACTCAGGAGATGGCCAAGCAGCTGGGCTGCAGTCTATAAACAGCACTGGTCACTGATCCAGCACCCACCTCCTTCCCTTAGCCAATCCTGTCCCAACATGCTCTCACTACTTCCTTATCCTGCTCAGACCTCACCCCTCCTTCCTTTCTTTCCTCCCTGCCTCCCTCTCCACCAGGACTGACCCACGTCTGAGGCTTCTCCTCCACTCAGGCCTCTGCAGACTTCCTGTCCCCATGGAGGCTTCCATTCAGTCTGCAACTCCTCCCTGAGACACCCGCCTATATCTAGTCCATCATCAGCGGTCAGTCTTTAGGGTCACTCACTCTGCTCTGCACCAATCAAATGAGTGGGATTTTAAAGACACTCCACCCCCATCCGCCCCCCCCCCATTTGTCAGAACCACAACTTTCAGCCAGAGAATGTTACCACACAATATCCCACTGCCTCTTTTTCTATGTCCCAAGAGCCATAGGAAGAACTTAATGAGATTTCACCCTAACTTCACGAACACACACACACACACACACACACACACACACACACACACGTGCATACTTGAACACACACATACACAAAAATGCACCCCTCCATTGCTCCTAGTTGTCCATTGAGAGTCCCCCCAAAGGTGTGACACTGACATGAGATGGGGCTTTTTATCAACACCCTGCTCACCAGTCCACCATCTGTGCATGGTGATTTGCACTTAAAATAGTTTTTTGTAAAACTGTGTCATCTTTTTCAAACACTGTCTCTTAAAAACTTAAAGGCCCCCACTGCAGCTGTTATCATAAGTGAGTGTTTGAAACATGTCAGTTGTCTGCCCTTGCTGTGTGGTGCAGCAGACCTAGTGGACACTAAATTAAATTGTCGGGGCCGACAGCAATACATCCCTTTGTACCCAGGTTTTTGCTGGCATTTGGGTAACTATCCTGTAATTTTATGTCCATGCCTGTATTTCAGAAGGGAAAGTAACACAAAAACAAACAAAAAAAACGTGTGCAGCATGAGATTGTGAAGGGCTGGGGTATGTGGGAGGGATTAGGGGGTGGGTTTCAATGTTCTCTGCCTCTCTCTGATGATGGTGGCGTTTTTACAGCATCCTTTTATCGTGTGTGTTTGTCACGTTTGAGCCTTTCGATGACAGGGGTCACTGACAGATTTAGGAAACTAAAAAAAAACACCAGCCACCACCAGGTGGAATGCTGGGATGTTTTTGGCAAGTTCTGGTATATGTATGAACAGTTCTTCTTCTTCACTGCCCTGTTCACCTAAAGAAGGGAAGAACCCACCTACTGAGAGCAGTCGAGAGACTGGAGCACATTCCACTATGTAGAAAGGACAGGCAGGGGAGACTGAGAGTATTATTTTTCATTAGCGAATCTTCTTGCCAATTTCTTATGATGGGTGGAGTTAGGTTTGAGACAGTGCAAGTCACCCAACGAAACCGGCTATGACTCTTCAATGGGAACATGCTGAGGCCACATCTGCACTACTACGTTTTTGTTTGAAAATGCACCAACTTTGCTACAAATACACTTGGCATCCACACTACTCTGGTGTTTAAAGAAGAACTGGTGGCCCAGTTTTAGTTTGGGAACTCCAGCACAGCGTTTTAGTCTGGAAGGGCAGAAACAGAAAAAAATGGAAATCATCACGTAGACACTCACAACCAGTTGTTGATTGGTTCTTTCAGTCAAGAGGTAGCTGCTCACTGACTCGTTAGGCTCCTTTCACATGAACCCCTTCCATAAGAATGCAACCAGCATTAACAGTGTAGAACGCAACATGTATAATCAATTACAAGTGTTGCTGACCCTGTAGTCTTTGCTAACAGCTGTTGTGCAGTTAAAGTCTGCATTTTACAATGGTACAACTGTTTACATGCGAGGAAACCAGCCGTTATTTAAGCGAACTGCGGCAATTACTGCATCCAGCGGGACACACATGCCTTCCTGTTTACACTGTCATGCGCTTGCCTAGTGTTCATGTTATATGCGTTCTCAGGCGTGTGTGTGAACACACTTGTGTTGACAGAAATCGTTTTAAACATAAACGTAGTAATATGGATGTTGCCTGAGAGAGTTTACCTCTTTCTTATTGTTCACGTCGGACGAGCACCAAAATGTAAAAACTACAGATTTTATTTCCTCCGCCTTGCCTTGATAGCTATTTATTGTTTCTGCAAAAAAAGTACACATTTTAATGTAAATAGTTTACAGAAAGATCTCTATGTCTATCAACAAATGTATTTATTAGATAAACTAAATATATAGATTAATATATATAAATATATTTAGTCATAGCCTATGTTCTTCTTGTGAGGTTTACTGAGAGTTTCCTTTGTGTAGTTTTTTTGCACAGCCTAGTCAATCTATAGAATATTTAGAGATGTCTCTTGTGCCTCAAGGCTTTTGTGTCTGTTCAGATTTCGGCACAGTGCTCTTTGAAAAATGAAATGTGTTGATTCAAATCTTTAGCTGTTTTCAAAGCCATCTTGCCCTTTTAACAGAGGGATAATAGGACAAAAAAAAATGTATAATTTCTAAAATTGTGAATTAAAAAAAGTAAAGCAAAGGAGCTAGTGGTCAGGCTGAGGGCGGTGACAACTCCTCTGGCCGTTTCATCCATTTCCACACCTAGGAGCCTCAAACAAAATGGCTTCTCTCCCTGAGAGGTTTTAGTCCCTTGGTTGGTTCAGAATCATCGCAGGCGGGAAGAGGATTGCAAATTTTCTCTTTGTAGACGTCCTCAACCCCTGCAGCACGGTGCCAAAGGAACCTCCTCTGCTCCTGCACCTGCCACTTGTCAACCTCAGTTAAAGCATGACGATGGTACACCAAAAAAAATTAAAAAAGAAAATTAGAAAAATACATATATATGATTGTCTTTTTGAGTGTGGAATACTGCTTTTTCTTTTGAATCGGAAACGTGTAGCCGCGCAATGAGGGGAAATGTATCGATATAGTAGGTGTGAGTGGGCAGATGTGTTTGCCGATACGCCATCTGTCAGTGTGTGTATGTGTATACAGTGTGTGTGATTGTGCATATGTGTGTTTATTTCGTCACTGTCTTCAGAGAGAAATATTGCGGGGTGGTAGTGGGTGGGTGGTTTGAAACATTTAAGCCTATGTTTCTTTTCTGGTTTTTCTGTTCATTTGTTTACTAGTAAAATGCAAAAAAAGTCCCCTTGACAAAGACTTCATGTATTAACCTGAGCATTAATCTCTGTCTTTGGTCATCTCATGTTTTCTCTTTTTCCATCCATGGCATGTTGCCTGTCTTCCGCCAATCTACACGTGCGAATGTGTGTGTGAGCATTTCCTGTGAGCATGACTCCCTCCTCCACATGCTGTGTTGGCCTCCATGGTACAGGTGAATGTGTGTGTGTATGTGTGTGTGTGTGTGGTTGTTTGTGTGCGTGTGTGCATGCGTGATGCCCTGTACAGAAGCCCTGGTGCTCCCAGCATCTGCCTTTTAAGAAGCAGGTGTTGAATCTCTCTCAAAGAACAAGACTACAGTCAGACCAGTTGTTTAAGCTACAGGTTTCAGCATCAGGGGAAAATCACGCTCATGTGTATCTTTGGTTTTCGCAAATTTTTTGTCCCTACATACAAAGTGGCTGATAATGCCTTAAAACAGACACAAATGTACGACCCAACAGAGGTACACGATATGTATGAGTGTATATGATATATTGACGTGTATCACAAAGGTCATTCCTTTTCATTGTGATGGTCTCAGGCGTGGTGCTCTCATGCATTACACAACTACACGCACAAACACACAAGACAACACATCGTCATAGCTCCATGAACATCGTTGTCGTCGCCTGCCACCTTTCTCCCCGGAAAGGCCAAGTGTCTGTTTGTTGAACAATTACTTAACAGTGGACGTTTTGTGCACTTACTTTTTAAGAATTGGAGAATTTGGACACTCACTTTAAATGTGGGGGAGAAAAACCCTTTGAAAACCAACTGTGGAGCAGCAATTTATATTTGCCAGTGATATTAAAGGAATAAAACATTTGAAACCCTTGTTTACCTACCTACCTTCTTGTCATTGTCTTTATTTGTCTTTCAGGACAAACTCGCCTGTGCTGTAATTATACTCGGAGAGCAAATGAAGGCTTTTACAAAGGAAGCCAGCCAACTGGTTTCTCATACAATGAATAATCTTGGTGTTTAAGTGGAGGTTAAATAGACAGTAATGAGGAGCTTTGTGGCGCAGATGAAAGAAAGCCTCTATGAGGGTCTGATTCTCGCCAACCATCCAGTTTAGTCTGCTAGCCAAATCCCAGGATTTTATGATCACAGCCATCTGATTACAGCTCAATAACCAACACACACAAAGCCAGAGAAAGAGACAAATAAGGGGGATGGGCACCTTGAAAAGCATCCCACATCCCTTCTGGAGCTGTCTGACTGTTGAGGGGGAAGGGTGCAAGAAAAAAATTGTTTCCTTCTGCCATGGAGAGCTCTGCAACTCCTTGTCAGCTGTAGAATGGTTTCGATTCATATATTATATGGTTGCCTTGCTTGGACCCTGAGCTCCTGGAGGTGAAAGATAGAAATGCTCACATGTACCTATAGTTCATTCAGGGTGTAGGGGAGGTCTTCTCCACCATTTGCACCAAATGCAGCAGACCTGACATTTACAATCGACTGGTCCATCCTGAAGTCTGCAAGTAAATCAAAGGACTGACCAATCAAATATCAGCCAGGGCATTTTTTAGTTATTTATTTATTATTAATTACATTTTCATCATTATTATTATTGCTATTATTATTGTTGTTTCTTGTATGTGCCTTCTTGTTCTATGTTGTTCACCTACCTACCTAACTAACAAAATGTGCAATAAACATATGTTTAAAAAAATACAGTATATCAGCCAGGGCAACCTAAACTGAGTTTTCCACTTTGATATCATAGAATGATTTTTGGTAACATAAAAAATGAAAAAGTTACTGGACAATATTACTGCCTCACGCCTGGCTTATAGCATCTTTATGATATTACAGGTGTTTAACTAAATGGGGTTAAACAATTACAACTTTTGTTGTGTTTTAACCAGTGAGGTCTTCAGAATGCTGATAATAGCCTACATTTGTGTAGCAGGCCATGTGAAGCCACTTTTCCACTGTTCAAAAACCAACTAATACCTGCTAACATCCTGCTTTTGTCTGCAATGGGAATGGACACAATCAACATTCACTCCTGTCCTGTATCAAATGGCTCTGCAGGCAGCACCGGTTTTAATTGGCTCTGGAATTAATGCAAACGAGACACTTGGGTGAATTGTGTTATTTTTGTATAATATAATTGAATTTCTAATCACAAACCAGCTTTTCAGTGCCATGTTAGATGTATTAACTTCATGAACATCTGGTAACCATGGACAGAGAGTGTTTGAAATGATGTTTTGGGGAAATCCACCTGTTAAGATTAAGATTTACTTTTATTGTCATGTTTTACACTTTTTACATGCATACATGAAATTGTTCTCTGCATTTAACCCATCCAGTTGGCACCTGTCGAAACACGCACATGCATAGAAACACACATAGACAGATGCCATGTACACACATATACTGGAGCAGTGGGCTGCCGTTGTCAGCGCCCAGGGAGCAGATGTTGGGGGGAGGGGGGCCTTGAGGGGGGCGGTGCCTTGCTCAAGGGCACCCTGGTCGTGACGAGGAGATGAGCTGCCACCCCACTGGCTGTCAGTTCATCAATTTTTCTCAAACAGCGGGAGCGAACCGCCAACCTTCCGGTTATTGGACGACCTGCTCTACCGCTGAGCCACGACCCCCCAAACTTAACTTAGAACACAATAACATTGCTTACGTTAACTTAGTACATATTGACATAGTAAACATACATTAACTGACATTAAGTTAGCATATGAGATAAGGGTAATATAATGAAACACACATTTATTTTCACTCTCAATATCCCATTAAGACACAAATCAGTACAAAGATAGACCTTGTAGCAGTTGAGTGATATCGCCGAATGATCATGGTGAAGATGTTAATCTTTGTTGACGGCTGTGTGTCCTGGTGCTAATGCTGTTGAGGTCATGAGAATGACTACAGTGTGTGGTGGGGGAGGTGCAGCGGGGTCATTGCTGTCAAGGAAAGGCTTGAGGGAGCTTCAGCACAATGAAGTGGCCAGGACAGTGTATCTATCTATCTATCTATCTAACTGTCTGTCTGTCTATGTAACTGTCTGTCTGTCTGTCTATCTATCTGTCTGTCCGTCCGTCCGTCTGTCCGTCTGTCCGTCTGTCCGTCTGTCCGTCTGTCTATCTATCTATCTATTGTGTTGGTGTAAGATAATCTTTCATTCAAGTCCTATTGTAAAGCACTTTGCATGACAGTGTGCATAAAAAGACACACCTTACATTTAATCTGCACATGAAACTGGAGACCGACTCTGCAATGCAGTGTATCCTGAGCCAAGCATAACATGCTCCAGCTGAGTGTATTGACACAACCTACCTGCTGCTGCTGCTGTGTGTGTGTTTACAACTGTTATTGACAGAGTTGTGCAAATAAGTATGTTAGCGTGTGTGTGTGTGTGTGTGTGTCAGGGTCACAGGCCTACTGACCCACCTCTCCACATCCTCGCATTTCAGATTAGTCAAATCCAGCAGCTTATCCAGGCCCTGCACACACCCAGCTTACTTTGACCTTCGCCACCCAGGACTTCCCTGACCAGCCGTGCACATACACACCCACAAACAGACAGACACTTGCAAACAATGGATTTAAGCCACACAGTCATCAGGGAACCCACCATTCAATCACTTCATAGCTACCATATGACCAGTAATGACTCCACCTCCATGACTCAGTCATGACAGTTGTATGACTATCATGAAGTGTAGTCTGAAATGGGATGGTAATGAATATATACAATAATGACTGAATGCACTCTTTTCGTAGAAATACTTTGAAAAATACTTATTATTGTTCATTATTTACCTCATGGTCACCTGAGCTTCTTAGCTCAATATACTTAAAAGTTTTTTGTTTGATAAAGGTTTTGATATCTTTCATGGTGGCTCATTGGTATGAATATAACTATAACACTCAATGGAACTGAGTCATTGGACATAATAACATATATTAGTTGTAAAGTTATCGAGAATATGAACCGGATGTTTCTTGTAAAATCTCACTTTACATTTTACAGACAAAAGAAAAAACCTTCACTGATTTATTGACACCAAAAGTAAGCACAACATATTTCATACATTTCTTCATATCTTATATCTGACTGATGTGTTGTCCTAATGAGGATCACCAGTTTTTTTGTCCCTATCAAAAATGTGTCCATCTCAAATCAAATGAAATCACATTATGTTGTGCACAACACTAGACATCCTATGTGTAGAGAAAAGCAGATGGTGGCTAAATGCAAATTTCTGTGATCTGACTGTGAGATGCGAATGACAAGTTCAGAAAATATTTTATGTATGTATGTTTAAAAATGTGCAAATTTAAAAAACATCCAGAATGCACTGTTAATGTAGAATCTGAAAAAAATGAAAGTATAAATAAGACTAAAAAGACGTAGTACAACAGAAGTGAGATAAACTAGGTAAAGAGTAAAAGGAGGGAACAAATTGGAACATAATTATCATCTGAAAACTGTGGTCCTGTGTACAGTATTAAGATCCATGCTAGGAAGTCTGACAGTGTGAGGGGAAAAAACTCTGTTATGCTGTGTTATGCTCCTCAGGCTGCAGTATGACCCCCTTGACATCAGAAGAAGATCACACCATTGTTGGGGTGCGTGCCATTCTCTCCGTTGTTTCATGTTGTGTTTCTGGTCTCCTCCAGTCTTGATATTAACATCCCTGATCATGTCGTCTATCTATCGCAAGTTTCCACCTGAGCCTCTCTGGATTTCAGCACCTGAATAAAACAATCCTACAGTAGCCTTTATACTTCTATCTTAGGGAGGACACTCATTGACTTAATGCATTCCCTTACCCTAACCCCAAAACCAAGTCTTAACCCTCAAACAGCCCTTTAAAAAAGTGGGAACTGGCCAACGTGTCCTTACTTTCCGAAAATGCCCTCACTCTGTCGGGCCTAAAATATTCCCCACAAAGGTATAAGTACAAGAGCACACACACACACACACACACACACACACACACACACACCATGTCTGATCATCTCAGAGCTGGAAGTGGCTGAATGGCAACAGCCATACATGATCCTCCTCCATCACAGATGACAGCTTAGATCAATGGAAAGAGAACCGAGCAAGTGTGTATTTTTGTTTTGCAAGAGGCGTGTGCAAACAGATGGAGGAGATGGTCTGTGTATGGGAAAGAGGGATCCCGGGGGGACCGGAGTGAAGAGCGCGCATCAGACAAGATGAGTGCATCGAAGATAGAACAAAGGCGAGGGAGCTGAGTGGCCTGTACGTGACACGTAGTAAAGCTCTTCACAGAAGGCCTAGCTTAGCGCTGGTGAATAACACCTGGCAAATCAAAGCACCAAAGGAATATGAGTTTCAAAGCAGAAGGGCGGCTAGAGAGGCTGCGTCCTCCAAGGAAATTTTAGATGCTGTTATATGAGCAAATAATACCACTCAGTGTTTAGACATGAGAGTACACACAGTGTGGTTCAGTCATTCAGTCTTGATACCATCAGCAATCACTCAGCAATAGTGTTTTGCACACAATCTTTCCATTTCAGCGCTGAATGTAATAAATCCTGTTTGTATTCGGTCAAACTTTAGGAACAGAGATGCTTGTGTTGGTGCAGTCGACCGGCTGGGATACAAGGGGCAGTGTTTACAGTATTTATGAGTCTATAAGGTGAAACCACAGTGAGGATAGTGTGGCTGCGCAGGCAGCAGCAGTGGTTGGGACGTCAGGGAGAGAAAGGTTAAAGTAGCAGGCTGGTGAGAGAAGTGTCTTCATGTTAATGCTGCCGTCCTACCTGGATAATATTCTGCTGCTCTCTCAGCCGTGACCTTGTGTCATTGTATTACAGCATGTAGACGGAGGGATACTGTTTGTCTTTT